GGCGGGAAATGTGTATCAACAATGACAAAACCAGCGCCAACGAACCCCGAGCACTGAGTTTCGGAAGGGAAATAGTATAGGCCGTTGATCTTGACGACGACTTCTCGTACGTCCCACTCGCGTACACGTGCCCTCTTCTCGTTGTACGAAAAGGGACATGGCGGGGATACGGGAGGCCGACGCCCAGTTGGGTTGAGGTCGTCAGTCCACATGGCAATCCAATTAGTCGCAAAGGTTGGTCTCAATCATTCATCATTAGTCCGACAATCGTAATGATCGAAAGTACACAGCCTGTCGATTGGGTTTTTCCGGCGATAGCTTTTATTCACCTTAGTCCTACGAAGCAAGGTGAGAACACTCCTCCATTATCTCAGAGATAGATGGAGAGAGAGAGAGAATATTCACGATGATCTAGCGTTCTCGCCAGGAAGTCTTCATAAAGAAACCGTGGGGACAAAACTCACATTCGGGGAGACGCGGCAATTGATCCACGCATGCAGGTCGCACGTGGCGCCGACTCTCGGGTTTTGTGTATCGAGGGCAAGCTGCAGATGTCGTGCAGCATAAGGCAGATGACATGCGCAGTGTATTCCGGGTTAAAGATCCCGGGGCACTCTCCCGCAATCACATCACTGACAGATCTAAACACTCGTGCATTCTTGAACAAAATCCCAACAACATCATCCTTGCCAATGACTCGACCATGTTCATACATTCCATTCGTAACAACTCTTCGGCCTAATCAAAGACCAGTCCATCAAACGACAGTTTCATCATCCGAGTATTTCCATCTACACTTGCGGTCATTTATCGCAAAAGGTGCGAAAATGGCAGCCATGCATCGTTCGGTTCTTCGTGTGCTCTGCACCCCTGCCCCGCCATCCCGTAGCTAATCAAACGCAAGCCCATCAGACAACCATTTCATGACAAGCATACATATTCATTCATGTCATAACGTGCGAAATGGATGAGAGTAACAAGATAGATGAAAATCACGCAAAAATCTGAGGATGAAAAGAACTCCCGGCTTAACTGTCGTAGAGCTGCACTCACACCAATGAATAGATTCGAGACAAGGAGGCGCATCCGCCACGTGCCACTTTCCACCACTGCGATCGTCACCCCGCCGACTTAGTCTCGACACGGCCTGCCCGGATCCCACAGTCCGTTGTGGTGATCAGGCGCACCGCCGGCTAGGCTACAATCAGCTCGTTGGGACTTTTCGACTCGCACTCCACACATACCATCTAGCCACTGCTTCCCGGAAGCTTGCAGACGAGTTGAGAGAGAGCTTTGGGGGCACGCTTGCGGAATTTATAGTTGCGGGAAGGGACGTAGGTACGAGGGAGGATGAAGGTTGAGTCAGGGAACGGTGAGAGAGGACTTGGGGATAATCGCCCAGCGAAAGCCATGTCGATCCTGTTGAGTCCGATCACAGCCAATCAGAATTGTCGCGTAATAGGAGTTCCTCCTTACACGGTGCCTCTCGTTGGCTGGACGGTAGTGAAGAGAGGATCAACCGGGCTCTTGGGTGTAGGACTCAGAGTGGGAGGACGAAGAGTGCACATGATAGCGTGAAACGGATCCAAAATTCATACGATCAAGAAAGAGAAAAGGCGCGCAGGGAGAAAAGGAAAGAGAGAGAGAGGGAAAAACGGTTACGACAGGAGAGTGAGCACGGGTGCGAAGGGAGCGTCGAAGATGGCGAGCGGAGCAGAAAGGGGGAAGCTCGCTTGCATGGCGCCGATCACAAATGCAAAAAGAGGCACCAAAACAGTTACAGATTCCTAAATCCTATGCTAATTCAAAAATTGAAATCACCATATCCGCGCGTAAAGTAGGTGCGGGAAAGGGCAGACCTACATCCATTCGTATTCCCACCAAATTCCCAGAGTTTTCCGCAACGTAATGGAGAACATTCATGCACAAAAATGACACGTCGGGTTCCGTTTATTTCAGAATTTCTAACTGTCGGGTCAAATTCCTAGCGCGCTTACTAAAGCGCGCGCAATTCCCATGCATTTCCCAAATTATGAAAACAAAATTTCAAGAATCAACACGGGTCTCAGCAAGGCATCTTTAATCAGAAACAGAGAGGGGCCTTGTTGGGCCGAGCAAAATTCGAAAAGCAAAGAGAGAGAAGGGGTCCGGAAGATGGCGCAGGCTCAGAAGCTGGTTCGTCACATATGTGACGCTCAAGGGGTTCCAAAATTATGCGATATCCTGATTGCATGCAGAAAAGTTGGTTTACATGGTGGAGGAGGAGGAAAGGGGCCGAGAGGATGAATGAGGAGCCCAACGTATCAGGAGGGAGATCGTCTTCATTAGCACAAATGATTGAGCCAGAGTTCATGTTGACGCCAACGTCAATTGCAATATCTTCGCGAGTCTGTTGGCTAGTGCTGCTAGGACCCCTCGTATCCAGTCTTGTCACGAGCCACTCCCTGACTCCAGGTGACGCCATCATGGTCCACCGTGTCCTTCACTGGCCAGGAGATGCTTCGCGTACCCTGACGCTGAGGGTGGAGACCAGGCCATGATCGCCCTCCTCCTCTGCATGGTAACAACACCCCTGCTACTAAAAAACTGCCACTTTCAATGCAGCGGCTGCGTCAGTTCTCCATAATTGGCTGAATCGGAAGCTTTTTCCCTCCGATAATCGTCTATCCTACTAGCAATGTCATCATTATCTACCCCTTGGCTGCTTATTCTACCCCTCCGCTCTCTTCTCTCTTTCTGTCTCCGTAAGCTTCCACTAGCCTCAGATACCATTGCTTATCTGCGTTACTGTGTCAAACTCTGAGCCCCTAGCTGGACGATCAGCGGATTCGGCGCCCTCCCTTCGCCTATCAGACAATCTACATGCACCTTACAATCCCGGGCCAACGCAGATAGCAGCGCTTCTGCCTCGGGCCCAGGAGCTCATACCGGTAGCCCCCTTTATTTATTTTGTAATGCCCCTCACTAATCTTCCCTTACTCATCGGTCGCTCACCCTATCTATTTACGCATCGATTCTTCATATTTGGCGCCAGACCTCTATCGTCTATCTGCCCTCGCCCTTCTATCCGATTTCGGTAGTCTCGTCTTATCTACGTTCGCTGGTGTGAGTGGGAGCTATCCCTCCTTGACGGCTACCCTGGGGCCTCCTCTTCTTCTTCAAGCTCTATGTCAGGTGTCGGGCTCACATTCTCACAAAGCAGGCTTCCGAACTTGTCAGAGCCCTTAATTTGGTCGAATTCCACCAAGGCCGGGATTGGACTCCACGCTCTACAGAACAGGGAAGGGGGGCGTGAGAGCACAGGTGTCTGCGGTGAAAATCAGCCGCAATTGCCTGTCTCAGCGCTTGCTTGACAGCTGCCCTTATTGCCGCCATTGCTGGTTTCTCGCCACCCCTTATGACTGCACACCTGGTCTTCCAAATTCCCCAACAGGCAGCAGCTCTAACTATCTTGCTGGCGTACTAAGTGACCATTTGATCCTGCTTGCATCTGGCATCTTCCAAGAGGGTTCCCAGCAGTATTCCCTGTAGCGTCAGCTGCTTTCTGGAGAACGGCGCATCCCGACGTCGCGCGCGCGCGTGTGTGTGTGTGTGTGTGTGTGTGTGTGTGTGTGTGTGTGTGTGTGTGTGTTATCCTTCGTCAATCCTTCAGGGCCAATCGCCGTGGCAGATGACAAGACGTCTTGCCGACGATTGGCTCATCAGCGATTGCCTCGCT